CACACACACACACACACACACTCGCACACAATTCGTTATTGTTCCGTTTAGAATCCGGACACCCATCCACCTTTCGTCCTAGTTTTGTTTAGCAACTAATCCTCACTGTGTGACTAGGAATATAGATTGACTTCAGTCTTCGTCTTTTTAAAATATTTAAAAAAACTGTAATTCGTCCTTGGTTTATAGTTGTTGTTGTTTGTTTGTTTATTTATATGTTGTTGTTTTTTTAAGGAACACTTCTAATATGCTTCAATTATTATTTAGCATTATTCCATTAAGAATAATTATTCCGTTTGTCATTTTCCTGCTAAGACCGTCATTATCTGCCACTTCTTCTCCCCATTCCAATCTGACAAATCTCTTTCTTTTATCTCCCACACAGAATCTCTTGACTTGAAAGCTACGGATATACGACGTTAACGCCCTCCCAGAGGTCACACAATGCCTGAGTTTCCAGAATTGAAATCCAGGAAGTTCAAGGAACCCGAATTATTTTGAAGCAGTCTTCAAGACATTTTGCCTACCACGGATTATTTTTTTGCCTGCCACAGTTCTGCCTCAGCATCGTGATGTCAAATTTTCGGAAGAAGCTTCCACGCTCCGAGCCAGCGTAAGAATACATTTGTTTGTCTAAGCCATAGACTTGTAGCATAATATCCTAGATCGTGCATTTTGACGTTTTTCTGGTTCGTTATTGAGAGCACCATTTCACTCTACTAGAGCCAACGGGAGAAATGGTGACACGCCCACTCGACTGTTATAGCGAGACTGTTGTTGATGTAGTTGTTGTTGTTGTTGTTATTGTTGTTGTTGATGTTGTTGTTGTTGTTTGTGGTTTTTTAATTTGTTTTGTTTTGCTTTTCCCCCTTCTTTTGGGCGCCCATGGTGCGAATGCTTTGCAGCGGAACTTTTATAGAGGGCAAAGAGCAGCCGTTGCCTGACGGATTTACCAGCGGTGCCCTCAGCCGCCAACCAATAAGAGACAAGTCCTCCAAAATTAACGCCCACCTCTTATAGAACCAAAACTACTTATAAAATGGAAGGAGAGACTCAAAAACTCACCATAAATCAAGACCACCTTTTATTCTAGATTCGAGCCAAAGCTATCTTCTACACAGTCATGCATGGTGCCTCCTGGGCTAACGGATCAACTTATAGCCACCCGCCAATTGGTCACTTTTAAGCACATGGGGGGGGCTGTCCCGAAAAATGCTGTTTTGAGAAAATCAAAGGTTACGTTTTTGCCCCTTCTTCGGTTTCTTAAAATACAAGGAGAGTTTTCTTTGTTACCAAACAGATATACACACACACCAATGAAATCAAAATTCTCCTATAGGTAGGGCAATGCCCACTTTTGGTTACCAAAATCTGGGTTAGCCCGCTTGTGCTTCAAGGCGACCAATTATGCTATGGAAGTATTCATCAACCCCAGAAATGATTGGTCATTCATTGTTCATTGTTTCGGGAAGCAACATCCATGCACTCCGGACATGTCCATTGATGCTCCGTTGCTCTCTCCAAAATGTCGCCTAGGGTCTTTCCACTGATTGTGCCAGTGCATATCTGGTTGAACGTTCTTCTGTTTTTTCCTGCAAGGGTGCCAGATTTTCCGCTTCCTTTTTTGTATTCCCAAAAGCACCATCCTCTCCACAGCAGTACTGGCCTCTGCCTCCCTATCTTCCTCCTCAATCGGCTGGCGAGAGAGACATTTCAGGATCTCGACCCTATCTGGTCGAACCGTGTTGTAAACTGAGGTAGCCTCATTGATTGGTCACATCATTAATCCTTGTCAACATTGTCTTTCCTCAGATTCGATCCTTTCCAAGTATTCGAAGTAAGTGAAACCTCTTTAACAGAGAATAAAAAGTGTGTGTATGTGCAATAGTGTGTAGTATAGTGTGTGAGT